TGTCTACGTTATGAATGAGCAGAGAATGAGAAGTACTTTAAAAACTCCCAACTAAAAGGTAATAGGGAAGAAAAACTGGAGAAATTATATAGAAAATTCATTTTAGAAGACCCTTTGCTGTCTTCGATTATTCTCACCTTTACTTTTGATTATTAATGCTTTGACATGGATCATATGCCATATTTTGAGGTGACTACAGGCTATGGTGTTGTGCTTTAGTTTTATAACATTTTAACTTTTGAAAGATATTAATGTTTTTTTGTTTTGTTTTGTTTTTGAGAGGTTTTTCACTATAGGGCGCATGCGCTCGCCAGACAGACAGAGAGAGACATAGAGACAGAAAGTGAGAAATCACCCCCCAGAGGGGATGGCCACGCCGCAATCCCTTCTCCTCCATTCTCCTCTCGGGATCTTGGGCACGCACGCACATGCGCCCGGCGTGAGTTTTAAGCCACCGGGTCCGGGACGCGAACCGCGGTCAACTATGTGGGAGTCCAGCGACATAACCATTACGCTAACTCCTGGTTCCCAAAAGATATTAATGTTGGCATTAAATACATGAGCTGACTTCAGTCATATATTGCTTGACAGGATGAAAGAGGAACTAGTTTATTGTGGGAAGTAGAAAAGGTGTCGTGATACAAAGTTAGGTTGAAATCTTAAAAATATAATAAAAAGTCTACCCTCGTTCTTCTTATTTTTTTTCTTTCACCTTTTTTCTCCTTATTTAGAATATCACCTGTGTCTAATAGAAATAATATTAACAATTCCTTTCGAACGCTAGTCAAGGCAGAAGTCACACTGACTTCTCGTTTGAGGACTTTTGAATGACAGATGTAGTTCAATTGCCTGAGCATCAAATTGATTCTGTACCGTAATTGCTGGGAGGTCATAAATGGGAAAAATGATTTATGTCTCCCTGTGAACTTTTTTCTAGCCCATGTCCATGACTTTGAGGAGACAAAAACTCCTGAAAAGTTGGCTCCTTTAGACCAAACACCGAATAGATATTGGCACTTTTCCATTGTGTATGGCTTACATGCCTTTGGTAGGGACATTTTGTGTTATGTTTCTTTTTATTAAAAAAGCAGGGGGAGCCAACTTTCCTGAATACTCATATTACTGGGAAAATAGAGGTGTTGATAAACACATGACGATAAATCAAAATGACTGAAAAATTTCACACAAGTCCACTATAGACAATGATATTTATATTCCTAGATACTAAATATTGTCCTTACAAACTTACACATTGGCACCTGCTTTAGAAAGCAGTATCTGTTCATTTTGTTGGCATGAGTCTGCCTTCCGGGCGAGCGAACTAAATCAGATTTGCAGATTTACAAAATGGAGGATCAAGTTTGGAATAGCTTCCCTGGTGATGTCTGGAAGAAAGGTGTATACCATACCTGCATACATCACTCAAGAAAATCTGGGACCAGCAGATGGCGTGGTGGTTAAGGTGCTGGACAATCCCTCATGGCTGACCATGGTTCAAGTCCTAGACCTGGTGGCTTACTTTCTCACTTTCCTCTCTCTCTCTCTCTGTGTCTCTCTCTGGTCAAATTATTTTGAAGGAATAAATGAATGAATGAATAAATAAATAAATCTTTAAAAAAATCTGATACAAATATGAAATATCAGAAACTAAGATGTTCAGATAAGAAAACAGAACTAGAGGACAATAAGCCCATGTAGATCCTCTTAATTCAGAGGCAAATCCAGATGTTTTCCCCTCAATTATTGTAACGTCTCCTTGAGAAATTCTCAAGAGATTACTGCTTGATGAAAACAGATTCTCTCGTGTTGTTTATTGACACTGAACATCTTTGTGGTGTCAGCACATTAAGAGCTACAAAAAACCATAACTATTTTAACAGCTGTAGAAAAATGTATTTGTGGGACCAGCTGTTGGTGTAATGGCTATGTTGCTGGACTCCCATGTAGTCGACTATGGTTCGAGTCCCAGACTGGGTGGTTTAAACTCATGCCGCGTGCGCATGCGTGCATGTCCAAGATCCCAAGAGGAGAATGGAGGAGAAGGGATTGTGGTGTGGCCATCCCCCCTGAAAGGTGATTTCTCACTTTCTGTCTCTCTGTCTCTCTCTGTCTTTCTGGTGAGCACACATGCCCT